TTGCCTTTGTCTTCTTGTTCACACTTACCTTGAAATTCATGTTTTTGCACCTCACCACCACCCTGAGAATAAGGCAGCAATAGAAATTAGCAAAAACTGCTATCTGAAGGTTTTTACAGTCACCACTCTGTTACAGCCATCAGGTATCAGAGGATTTGCTCTTATGTGTGGACCCAGGATTAATCTCAAGTTGAAAAGAAAGACGACGCCCCACAGCCTTATCAAATGGGAATTGTGCATCCAATTATCTCCCTTGCTGGGTAAGAAAATTAATAGTATAAAGACAGGCTGGCTATTCTTCAAGACCCGCATTATCCATTGTAATGGAAATCCTCAGCACTCACAGATCAATACCAACACTGCTAACATCAGTAAAGCTGCATTTGTTGAAAGCAGCCAAGATTGGGACCAACATGTACCTAAGTCCCGTTCCCCTGGACAGGTCAGACACAGCGTCCCATTCAGAAGTCCACATGCAGCATCTGCCTTCCCATCCTTGCCAGCAGCTCCTCTCCTTGCCCTGCCCACACTGACAACGATGACAAATCCCAGCTTGCCAAGCTTCAGTGCTTGCACTGCTAGAGACAGAAAGCAGATTAAGCTGTCGAAGTCCAAGTCTTGCACCTAAACTAACCAACGCTTTAGATGCTAAGAGTTTCTAAAAATCATAAACACAGAAACTAAGGCCTCTTGGGGGGCCTCCTTGTGTTTCTCTTCCTGAACAGCATCCCTCCAGTAAACACACAGGAACATGTGAAACTGCAGCCTTGAAAAGAGGGGAAAAGGCACAAAACTCCTAGCCAAATACTGCATGTTTTGGCTACACGGCATGGCCTGTAACTTGAGGTCCTCCCTTGCTGTCCCTGCTTACCACTGACTCATCTCAGCCTGCTTCAGCCCATGGGTGGCTGCTCGCAAAGCATGGATGCACTGAAGTGCCCAGGTCCTCCCTGTTACGTAAAGCTGTCACAGCTACCTGTAAGGCTGATCTGTTGCCCTGCAACCTTTAAATTCTGAATTAATATCTATTAAGACAGCTTCCTGGAACAGGGCTCATATTCAAAACTGCTGCTGGGCTCTGTCAAACGTCTGGCAGAAGTCAATAAAATGCAGTTCATCATGAGATTTGCCATAACAACATAGAAAACTCCCCCAAAATGGCTATGGAAGACATGCTTTGACTGCCAAGTTCAGCTCTCATCTTGAACTGCTCCAGAGAATGAGCATTTAAAACAGATTTTACCCTGATTTGTCTGTGAAATTTTGTCTCACAGGTTGGTTTTATGTTTATATTAAAAAAAAAATTTCAATCAAACTAACAATCAGTTTGGACCAGCTACATGACAGCCTCTATGTTCTTCATGATCCTTAAAATTCAGATACATGGAAAACTTCATGACAGAAGTCATCTGAGTACTATTCTTATTTTTGTGTGTCTTAGTGCTTACATTTTTACTTCCCTTTCTATGTAAACACATCACTTTGAAGCCCCGGCAAGATGGGCCCCCCAACAAAAAGATTAGACTTAGGTGCTACCAATTTCTATCTTCCACTAACAAGATATCTGCCAAATCCAGCAAACAGCAACTTGGCTCTCTTTCCAGGCCTCAGGCCTCTGCTGTTTCCCTTAAATATAAAGGCAAAATGTTGGTTTGCAAACAGGAGAAAAGCAGTCCCCTAGATCCTGGTTGTATAGGCCAAAAGCCCAGGGTCTAATGCCAATCTCCAGCTTCATGCAACTTGCTCTTTTCTGTGCTTCTATCTCGTCTTGTATCATTTCATCTGGCCTTCTAGAAAAGATGGATTCACCTCTTCTCCCTGCAGTTACCTAACTTCTCATTTAGGAGTCTACTTGCCCACATAGGCAATGGGCTTACATACAAACTCCCCTCATCCGAAACTAGTCTGTGCCACAGCTTCTAACTCCAGCAGCGAGGTGCAAGTGTGCTCTTCCCATCTTTGCAGCCACCAGCAAAAGGGGCCTGGCATGACAGTGCTCCGAGCAATAGCACAATAAATATTTTATTCTTCTGCACACATCAGTGGCGTAGGCTGTGCTGTGACACCTCCTTCAGCTTGCTAAGAGCTGCTTCTTACAGAGCCTGCTCTTGCTCCCATTCAATTCAGCGAGAGTAGGAGCAGCCCAAAATCTAATCATAATACAAGATTTTATTGCTGTCATGATAATTAATGACTACTTACACTGAGCTTTTAATAAGTACCTGCACTTTTTGTTTGTTTGTTTGTTAACTAGGTCGTAAAGGAGTCCCGAATGATTTCTTGGATTTATGGTACGATAGGGCCCTCTACAGGCGTTTCCCTCTTCAGAGCAAGGCTAACGACATGACCTGTATGAGCAGCCACACATCACTGCAGATGCCATCAGAGCTCTGCAGCGCAGGGACACCACAGAGCGTGGAGCTCTGCAGACAGCGCTCTCAGTCGGCAGGTCAAGTTGCTCACCTTCAGGCCACTGAAGTGACACTCTCAAATGCAAACAATAACCAGTGAGTTTTTCCCTAGAGGCTGGATCCAGCTACACCACTGCCATGAAGCTGTTTGGTTCCATGCCAGTAGCTACAGAAATAAGCAGGGCTATTGAAGGCCCTACCTACAATGGGCTGGAGTTGACTGAATACAGCCTTCAGATTATTTATCTGCATCATGGAAATTGTCTTATTTCAAACATATTTTGACATGATACTTCTGAATAGCTCCAGAAGTTAAAACACACAAAAAATTGCACTCATGTCACACAAGATCTAGAAATGAACATTCAAAATGAAACTCTTGCTGTTTGCTATCAAACTTTTCTTTTACCATGACTGACCTCTCTCAATACTGTTTGTGTGTTATTGGTCTACTGGAGAACCATTTCTTAGAACTCAAAGGAGCAGAAGAACGATCTATCAGCTACAGCACTAGTAGCAGGTTTGTAGTTTGTTGCCTCTCCTTCACATGACTTTAATCCCTCCCTGTTTTAGTTCTCCATAGCACTGCCTTGCTTCATAGGGATGCTCTGAAGACAAATCCATTAAGGACTGCAAGCTTCAGAGGTCATGCAAGCTATTCTGTTATCAAATCAGTTATTTTGCCCAATTAGCCTTCTCTTTGCAGGATGCTTTCCCAACTACAGTGTATTTCATGGACTAGAAATTAAATAAAACCTTTAATGGATGTAAAGAATGACAAAGCTATACAATTTTGCTGAGCCACATAATTTTTGGGGGGTTGATTTTTTGTTTGTTTGATCTTTTGGGGTTTTTTTTGCATAAAATCTAGACTGAGTAGCAAGTAACCAGTTTCACAGCTAGTTCTTAGGACACAACCCAGTACTTAGGCCATGTGCTAGTTAGCCTTGTGCTAGCCACATAAGCACAAATCAGTTTTTTACTCTTAATATGCACTAGAAGAAGCTGGATTGCCATGTTAAGTGGGAAGGACAAGAAACTCTGCTGTGTTATTACACAAAACATATACTGGATTACTGAGAATAAGAGAAAACCTTCTTTGAGGGAAAACTGTCTCCTACCTACTTGCCTGCCACCAGACCTCCAAGACCTTCTTCAGGAGCCTCTGGCACTGTCTGCAGTTGCTGGCTGGCTTTTGGACCAGATGGGCCAGTGGCCTGGCTGCTGCTGTGCCCCTGCAGCTCAGATTGCTGAATCAGCCGTGTGCAATCATGGGCGCCGCTGTTAATCAACAGTGCACCCTAAAGCAGGCAGGACACGGACTCTGCCTGCTCCAAACATTAGCCATCAATACATTTCCTTACACTTCCAAGATTAAAAGCAGTATTTTATAAGGACAGTCATCTTTTCCACAGGCTTGCCACTTGCAATTTTAAATAGACCTTGCTGGGATCAGGTAAACTGCAGGCCACCCACACACTTCAATAGAAAATGGGTGCTGAATTCAGGGGAGGTATTCAAGTCACAGTCAATCATTAGCAACAATGTACAACTGCACGGTGACTGCAGATGCTAGTGAAGCAGGCAGAGGGCTGGGTGGCTTAAGGGCAGCTAGGCTTGAGAGATGTGCTGCAGGAAAAGCCAGTGTGATTCCTGCAGCCAGGACCATCCACAGGGCAAGTGCTCTGTCCTTCGGAAAGGCAGGTCCCAGTCTTTAATGTCTCTCTCTTGGCCCTACTGAGCTGGTGCCCCAACAAAGCTGATGGAGAATGGCCTAAAAGTCACACAAACACAAGGTCTCCTCTTGAAATTATAGTTTTTGGCATGTGCAGCTAATAGGAAGCAGAAGCTTATGACTCTGTTAATTATGCCATTACAGAAGGAGTCTGAGCCTGATAAATGAGCTAGGAAAGATGATCCTGATCCTCTGACAGGCCAGTTCTGCAGGAAATTCAGCACCGTAAGCAGCAACACACCATACTAGCCCAGTAACATCTGTCACTTATCAAGGCAGGGCTCAGCACAGCTGACTCCACGAAGCAATCTGAGGCGACGTAGACTTCCTCAGCCAGGTACTGCATCAAACAGCAGAGTGATTCATTCATGCAGTGATAGCTCAAACACATCTTAGGGCTGATGAAATCCCTTAAAACTGCAGTAACAACACTCTTCTCCCACATGGGGTACAGCCTGTAAACACTGCAGACTAATGGAGAAAGCCGTCATCTGTGTTGGTGCCACCAGCCTTTGCTGTCTAAGAAGCGCCTGCTCCAAGGTTGTGCTTCAGCACAAAGGGTGTACAGAACCCAGGTGGTGAGGAACCCATTTCTGGAAACCTCAATGCCATTTGGAAAACTAAATTAAAGCAAAGACCTCCTTTTCCTTTCTTCTTCCCAGCTTTGTCTTTCCATTTTATTCTTTCTGTCCTTACACAAAGTCTCATCTTGCATGCACAGACTCATCTGGTGTTTCACTCTTGCACTTTTCTTCCACTGGCAGAAAAATCTCAGCAAGCTTTCACTGGCAGTCCTTCCAAATCTACCTTGGACCAGAAAGCAAACTAGAAAAAGAATTTCATGATTTAGTCTCCTGATAAATCGTAGCCTTCCAATAAACCTTCTTTTCTCATTATGTTTAACCTACATCAAAAAAAAAAAGGAAGACAATGTGTGTTTCTACAGGTACAGACTGTTTCACTGCAATGAGTAAATACGTTTGAGAAAGCACTTGCATACCCTGCAAGGCACTTGCTTGGCCACTGGTATGTAAAAGGTGTCAAAAAAGTCAGTAAGAGGACATGCAAATGGTTAAACCCAAACAAAACCCATCTCCCTCCAACAGCTTTCTTTGGACAAGTTCAGTTGTTCAAACTTCTGCCCTTAGGACTCCTTTAACAACTGCATGTACACCCTGCACAAGTTGTGCTGCTGTGCGTGTCTGCCCCAAGACACAGCCTCTGTGATGCAGAAGGGCTGGTCCTCTAGAAGTGAATGCAACATTCCCCACGTGCATGCAGGAAAAGACTACTCACTGCGGAGAAGGAAATTCACTCATGACAAAAACTTTGAGGCTTTTCATCCTTTGGCTCATCTAGCTCTAAAATCGTCTCTGAGATCAACGAGAAAGATCTCTCACCTGTGTTTCCCCGACAACATGCATGTTTCTAATAGGTGTTTCCGTTCAGTCTGTCAGTCTGTCCAGTGTGTGCTAGGGGTGAATGGTGTTTTTTGTGTGTTAATGTGCAGATTCGCAGATTGTAATTCACAGCTAATTGCACTCTCACTCTATACATGCGACACAAAATATGAGGGCAGCTACTGAAAGCTGACTTGAAAATTGTGAAAAGCAGAAGTTGTCTCTCAGTGGATACTAAGAAAAGGTTAGAATAATAGAAATGAGCGAACAATACAGAGATCTGAAGATTTAACTTGAGATAAAGAAAACACAAAGGCTGAAAAAGTTGGAAAATCAGCTCAGTGCCTCTTACAAAATGCTCATGTCAATGCACAGAGGAAAGGACTGGTGTCCATCTCCATCCAGCTCCTCACCAATCCTTTCTCTGCATGCACGTGTCGCTTGCTTCAGGCTGTTGCACAGGGACTCCAACCAACCAGTGTGTGACATGTTGTTTTATTTACTGGCATCAGAGAGCCAAGCTGACTCAGCTACTGACCAGGATGCCTCTGTGTGAGAAGCCCACTGAACTTCAGACCACTTGAGTGCAAAATGTATATTTATCCTTTCAAAGCCCAGTCTTTCAGACACATTTCAACATTATCATTGTAGTCTCACAAATACACAGGTTTTTTTCAACAAATGACATGCATCCTATTGTGAAAATTAACTCACATAACAAAGAAATTGAGCATTTCAGCAGGGCACCTAAATGTAGGAGCCTGTATCATCCCATAAAATCACAAAATACCGAACTGCCTTTTTCTTGTAGATGACTAAGCATAGCAGATGCGTCTACAACATACAACAGCTGAAATGAAAACCTCTTAGAGACATCTCCAGTCTTATCAGCACTGGCAAACACTCTCAGCTGTCAGTGAGAAGTCACAGTTAGTGCCATGGTCTCCAAAACCAATTTTCTTCTCTTTTCCTTGAACAAAATCTTTTTACCTTTGCAATTCTTCGTAGACAAGATGAAGAAAAACAAGTATCTGATATGTAAATCTGTTCATCCAGGGTGGAACAAAATTCCTAAAGTAATTTATTTCCTATTTGGGTGGTCACATTGTGCACATAATGTGAGAATAGAATAAATAAAGTCTGTTTCCTGGGCAAAGGTATACTGAAGTTTCATAACAAAATTTCAGTTTCTCCTGCAACTGAAGTCTTGCGCTGAAATCACGGTGTACCAAGGTAATGTACTGCCTGAAGTTCTGTGAATCTGATGAGCTGCTATATGATGTTAGGGAAGAGTAGAGTTCTTGGTCATGAGCACACTCAATAATCCATTTTGAGAAAGATGTCCAATTCCTTTGCTTCTGAAAACTTGCCACACTCGGAGGTGTCATGATCTAATTTTCCAGGAATTGCTTACTCTCTATTCCTAAGCTCAAGTAAGTTTGAGAACCATCCATTTTCCTCAGTCCAAAGCATTTTATGATTTTGTCCTTTAGGGCAGCAGAAGCCTATACTTTGCTTAGCACACTGAAGATAACTGCTGCGTTGGAAGAGGGCTGTTTATCCACACACATAGGCAGCAGACACTGAAATCAGAACCCAAATGGTTTCTTGTCAGCATATGATGTTCAGAACACAACTCCATTGTGAGACAGGTTGTGCTTTTCCTCCAGAGGAGGAAAAAGAAGGGGAGGGACAAAACAAAACAAAACAAAACAAACAAACAAAAAAAAGACAGAAAAGACCAGAGCAGAACACTGTACTATGGCATGAAATGACTGAAAACAGCTAAAACCAACCAGTCCTTCCCTCAGCAAATACCAAACACAGGAGAGTATTGAGAGGGCTGCAAGTATCCTTAGCTGTTTGGACCTGCTCATCTAGCAACCTTTACTAAAAAGGAGGAAGTCTTTCTTCAACAGTGAATGGAGCCCGCCAGTTCTGCAGAAGTTCCGTATATGTACTCGCTCTGTCATTCCCTTTATTTCATCTCATCAGCGAGGCTGGGGTACCTGCCAGATGGCGCGGGGTGGCCTTCCCAGCAGAACTTCCTCTCATTTACAGGCAAATTGGTAAGTGTCCCAATGCCCCATCTTCACAACGCTGTCTCGCCCATGCAGACTTTGTAGGGTGATTTCAATTTCCTGCATCTAAAATGGACAACATCACACGATCTTACTCAGACAAATCTAAAACCACAGCAGAACCTAAATCTAATTGCCTAACTCATTTAAGCAGCCCCAATGAAAACCATGTTTCAGACAATCACACCATTTGATCCGACTGGAAGATTGGAAAGCAGAGGCATACTGCGTCAACTCCTTCAAGATCACACCGCAGATCAGTAGCAGGCAAGAACACACTCCCAGTGCCCTCAAAACTCTGCATACTGTTTCTTCCTGCCCACTGTAATTCAGATTAATGTAATCAGAAGGTTGCATATCTCCCATACCTCTTTCTTACGTAGCAGTAGATGATAGCAAGTATCCCACTTGTCAGTATTCCTACACCAATTCCCACAGCAATGTAGCGTTCGTAAGAATTATGTGCATATGAATTTAGTGTTAGATGTTCACATCTCTCTCCATTATATCCTGCCAGGCACCTACAAAATAAATATACACCAAGCAAACATTACTCAGAACTTCTTATGCTTTCTATTTCAGAAACACGTCAGTTTTCATCAGTTTTAAACAATTTAGAACAAGTCTAAATGAGGATGGGCTGGATCTGGTGCTCACTCAGAACCTCTTCACCAAGACTACCAGTTGCCCCAGTCTATCTAGTTTAAAGCAAGCTCAAATACTGCAGTCACAGCAGCAAATGCAGTCTAAACATATCCTCATCATGGAGGGTGTGGACAAAGAGCACTGTGCTCTGCTGATCCTTAGCTGCTATAATGTCTCCAAAGGCCAAAGCTGCCCAGTAAGGACCCTAGAAAATTTTAAAGACACCGTAGGCCTGAATGATGTATTACAGAATAAGAGAGTTGCAGCTGACTTCTTGGAAGATCCTGCCCCCTTCAGCATGCTCACTGTGAAAATCTACTTATTCCTCTACTATTTAGTCAGCATCAGTTCTGATTTGAGATGCCATAGTGGCAGTGACCTATACAGCTGTGACTTTTCCCTTTCCCTTCCTTAGTATTACACTAGCACAGCACTACTGGCTCGTTAACAGTCCTGAACCACCACAGCACTCAAACCTGTGCCGGACTAAGCCTGCAAATACTTGACTGGCACCTGAAAGCTATGCTCTGCCAAAAATTAGTCACATTACATTAGTAACATGTACCAAAGAAACAATGCTACTGTTGTTATTTTCTAAGAAGGATACTTAAAAGCATTATTCTTTACTTGCATATGGGTTTCCTCAATTCACTGTGGAAAGCACAGAGCCCATTGATACAATAGCTGTGGTGTTCTTCAAGACAGGTCTGCATGAGTTTCAAGAGCTTTGGCTGCTCTGTGTAGTCTACTGTGAAAGAGAAAAAAGTCACATTATATTTGGGAAAAAAATCATTTGAATATATTTTCACAACTCAAGTTGAACAGACATTGCCAGCAGAAGACATTTAATAAATGCATTTACTGTGGTATGTCTCATGAGCAGATTCAAGCACTGCTAAGCAGAACAAGCTTCTGGGACATTCCAGCATAGCTTTAGAGAAAGAACAAACTGTAAATGTATTACTTCCTCTTCAAAAGCATCTATAAAAATGATTATGGGAGATTCATCCATGGTAACATCATCACCATCCAACCTGAAATTCAATCAGAAAAATCATCCCAGGAGTATCAGGGTTTAGGACACAATGAGAGAACTGAATTAGTATGCTTTCCAGTCTGAATTAAAATTACTGGTTAATTCCTTATTTCTTTTCCCCACCACAAGAGAAACTATAGCCTTTCTAACACTCCCATCCACCAGCTCGGCAGTTATGAGCGGCGAACGGTGGGATTGCTCCCTCTCTCCCTCCATTCTCCACGGTCTAACGTTAGCAGAGTGTTCAATTACGCTTGTAAGCACCCAAGACTGCCTGGTTGGTCTTGCCATGCAAAATCATGTCCACAACTATGACGTTTCTGAACTTGCACAAAATTATATGCACGCAGGTCAGTAAGCATGCTTCTGCTTTGAAAGCACAGAACATAACTACCTTATTCCCAAGCATGGTGGCTCAAATGGGAATAATGTAGGAATCAAAACTCTTCTTGGGGATCTTGCATCAGTGTTACATAACAATAGGAGAAAGCCTGAGCCCAGGAGCCAGGCACCCTGATGTGTAAGAAGGAGTGCAAAGGCCAGCATGAATCTGGGAACACAGGAGCAGGGGTGCGGCAAGTGAAGAGAAAGCTCAAAAGCTTCACCATCAAAGCAAGTATCTGTTTGAACTGGTCTCTCTACCCACTTACAGGAATCGCCGGTGGGGTGGGGTGTCCAAGCAATGTCTTGCTATTTCAGGGCACTGTTTTAGTGATGGCTGAAGGTGATTTCCTAACTGAGTGTGTGTCAACACCAGCTTTCAGTTATGACCACAAGAAAAATATCATCATGCAGGAAGGTGACAAGGTCTGCTCAGAGTGACTAAACAATGGTACAGCAAGCAGAAACCTTCCTTTCTGACTAAGTGCTGAATCAAGGTTTGGAGACATTATACTGATGGAACCAGGCCTCTAGCTGTCCTGCAGGGAACTTGAGATCCCACAACACATTTTTCAGGAGTAACAGCACCAGCCCCCTAAATTACCAATCAAATTTCAGTTTGAGTCATTTAATGGCAGAAATTCCCCGTGTACTCAACTAAACAATTTTTTTCTTTGTCCTTTATGCAGCTCCATCACAGAGATGACAACTGATGGCAAACAGTTGCTCTACTGTATGTCTGCATGTTAGAGCAATTCACAACTTCAGTTGTGAATCATGTGGTTTGGACACCTAAGACCTATGATGCTATCGCTGTTATTCAGATCAAACAACACTACTTTGAAAATAGTGTCCTCTGAAACCTGACAGAGCAATCAGACTTCCAGCTTATCAGGAGACATATAGAGAACAAGTAACAATTCAAGTCTGCTTGAGAAAGAACATGTCGGTTTACTACACTTTCTCAGGAAAGGTTATAGATGTGGAAAAAACATGTCTTGCTTTCAAATGAACTTCTTTGGGCTCAGAAAAGGACATCTTCTCCACTCTTGTACAAAACAAAACAAAACAAAAAAATCACAAGTTGTTCTTCACATTATGACAGACTTAAAGCCACAGAAACACAATGCTAGAAACTACAAACCAAATCTACACCTTTGGCCTAGCACTCAAGTGACAGTACATATGGACTGGAGGATATGCCGAGACCGAGGCTTTATCCCTATCTCTCACTACGATGCAGCAGGGGAGCACCTGAAGCGGCTTGCAGACCAGATTTGCATGCAGCATCACCTCGCAGTGAGCTCTACGCTACCACTGCTAAGTTGTCCCCATACATTGAAACCAGAGTGGTATCTCTGCTATAGAAAGCCCTGTGTAGGGCAGACACACCCATAGCCTTGAACCACACGCTCTGCAGGGGAAGATGTTGGCACTGGCTACACACGAGTTCTAGTATCAAGCTCCGGCTCTTTTCTGGCTGGCTTTGGGAACGCTGCCGACAAGCTCCGGGGACAGGCTTGTTGGCTGAGAGTACAGTCAGCACAGGACCAGGCCTTTGAGGGACAGATTTAAGGAAGAGAAGAACAACTTAAGAATGACAGATTTCAGGAAGACAAGACAGATTTTATGACATGAGATGGATGATACCTTTTTCTGCACAGGAGGACTGTATGATGCTCACTGCTGGGGAAAGCACAACAGAAAACAAACCACGTGGTAAACACAGCTGCAGGGCTCAGCATGCCAAGGAAATGCAGGAGACCTGCAAAAGCCCATTTTTATTTAAGTCTAATGTACCTGCAGACCAGCTACCAAAACTGCAGGGAAGAGTTTAAGTAAGCAGGCAATGGACATGCTTCCCCTGTGACTCTCCTCAAACACTTCAGCACAAACTGTTTTGAATCACCATTTCAGTGCAAAGGAGGCTGAAAAATTCACTACAAAACTGCTTGACATAACCACTCAACAGGACCCTTTAATGTGTGTTCCTGCCACCCAAAGAATTACTCTTCTACCAGGCCCTGAGAAGATGTGTACTGCACAGGTTTAATATTTCACTTATTTCTTCATGTATCTCTGCCATATAGATTAAAAAAAAAAAAAAAAAGAGAGAGAAGGTAAAAATCTACACACCTGAGGCATAAAATCCCCAGCCACCTCTACGCAAATTTCCACCAGATGGATTCACGCAGCCAGACCATCCCTCCTCATCTACCCCACCACTGCCGAGAGGTGGCACCCTTCCATCCACCAATGTCTGGAAGAAAGCTCACTTCACAGGGGAAGAGGTTTCACGTACCCAAGAGTGCTGTGAAAGTTAGTACTGTCATTAGAAACAAAGGTCAGCTAGAGCAGAAGCCTGCCTAGAAAGCGCTGGAGACAAACATCTTGCTGCACAGGCGACAAATGAACAATATATTCCTCCCTTGTTTTCAGGAGCAAGAGCTTTGTCCATTGTAGGTTGCAAGATCAGATCTTAAATGTACACACAAAGATTTTAAGTGCTAATTATTCTGACACTGCAAAAGTACAAATTAGCTCTGAAAGAATGATGAGTCTTGAAAACAAAAAGAACGACTTTCTAACCCACCCCAGAGCATTACGCTAATTCGTATCATATTATCCACCTAGATACTGAATAAGCTGTTGAATAAACACATCCATGTGCCCTTTCATGTCACGTGAGGAAAGAAAAGCATGCTGTGTAAGCACTTGACAGTTGCCTGCAACTGAGTCATTCAAACAGATACACTTGGCAAGATCTGACATGAAATCAAAACTACAGGTACTTGGAAGCCTGGGCATGCCAAAACTGACAGACTGGCAACAAAAAGTCAGCCACTAAGACCACGACAGCTCAGCCTTCAAGTATGGTGCGTTGGGGAGGAACAAGAGAGTCAGAAAGGGGAGGCAAAGAAGGGGTCAGCCCCAGGTTCAGGGCCTCCCTTACAGGCTGCACGGACGAAGCAGTTCATGGCAATGAGGTGATCTCATTTTTATCCCAGTAAAACCAAGCCTTTTCCTACTCGTAGCTGCCTATTTTGCTACAAAGGCTCCCCTTCAGCCCAAACAGCATCAGAAGTTCATTATCCCTGCCATGTCAGCTCCCAGCCAGGCACCCTCTCCATTACGTTCTTCCCACCTGGCTGATCACTGAGCCTAACGTTTCCCAGTGCCAGCACTGGTGACAAGTAAAGCCTATGTAACATAAAATAAGGAAATAGGACATGATCTTGTAAATAGGATACAAATGGATTGAGCACAAATTAATGGTTTTCCACAAACCACACCTCAGTCCTCAGAGGAACTGCAATCTCACAAGAAACTGCCAGTTCCTCCAGTGATACTTAAGCAGGAATTAATTTTCTTAGGATCCAATATTACTATACCTTGGTTATAAATCTTAATATAAACAACTTATGCGGGAATGGGAGCTACGAGAAAACATCAGAGAAACAGCCAGTTTCTTTGATGACTCTAAGAATGTCTTTTTGATCTTCTGGAAATGCTTAACTTTCTAAAGTCATCTAACTTTTCAGTGGCTTGGTAAAAGGTCCACCAAAGTATACTTTTAGCTACCTGTGTAAACATGTGCTTGTATGTTTGTGAACTTGCTTTTGCCTTTGAGGGGAACACACTCTCAACTAAAACCACTTGTATGTCGTTGACTTGCACAGCCAGAGCTAGCGTTAGGGTACATGGGATAACTACAGACATGGCTGTGTCCCTGTAAATAAGCCTCTTATTTGTTAAAACATGACCCATAACTCCTGCTTTCTACAAAGAATACAAACAGGGTACTTAAGTCACAACATTTTACTACTTCATTATATTCCTGCTTGTTGTACACAACTCTGGAAGAATCATGTACCACACCAGACCACAGTGCTGTACTGATAAATCAAAAGTCAAAAATCAACATCTTCTTGACTTCACATACATGTATGTGTGTGTATATATATCATATATATTTTACATATATATATATATATATATATGAAACCCACATATATATGTATGGATGAATGTATATATATATATCTGTAACACCGTACCACTTTGACAAATGAGACAAAAAAAGAACTTGTTATGAGAAAAATAAAAAGCTTATGATCTACTAAAAAAAGCTTTTAAGACATCTTGTGATGACTTACAATTAACAGAAGATGATTTGTATGCATGTTTATGTTCTTTTTAAAGTACAAAGACATTAGTAAGTATCACAGTTAAAATCCTTTCCTCCTTTACTGACCTGCCAAAACCTCAGTTCCAGATCGCACAGTTCTCCACAAGTAATGACATCACTAGCACCTGAAGTAACATCAAAATGCAGCTTGCAGGATAAACACCGCGCTCTGGTCTCATGTTGGCAGGGAAATAGCTTGAGTTCACATTTCAGTCAGAACAGAAAAAGAAAGAAAAGAGAGAGCTAGCACTCTGAGAAGGGTTGTGGAAGCTGTGATAGCCGAGAGCAAAACTGCAACAAAGAAAGAAACTACTGAGTAACAGTAATGAGAGGCATCACTTGAAGTTATGCTTGCTGCATTCCCACTTGTGAGCATAAAGATTCACACTGAAGACACCTAGAAACCAAGCACTAGTTAAAAGTAACAGAAATTGCCATCAGAAATGCAGATCATCTATCCCAATCAGTCTTAAAATATCTTCTTAAAATTATAACTGAATTTGGATAAATGATCCTCTAGCTGGTCAACGTGAGCCTACCCCAGCTAAGTGGCAGTGGAACCTTTAGAGAGGTTCATGAAGAAAGCAGCTCATCTTACAAATCCAACACACAAAATTCACCGGTTTCCAAGTATCAGGAGCATTATAGCAGCTAATACATTTTGCTGGCTTGTGGGGTTTTTTTTGTGTTTTTTTTTCTTTCTTTTTTTCTTTTGGGGTTTGGGTTGTTTGGTTGGTTTTTTTGGGTTTTTTTTTTTTTTTGGTTTGGTTTGGTTTTAAGTGACAGATGAATAGAAAGAAACAGAACAAAAAAGAAATACCTTCAGCGTGGTTTTTTGTCCAATTATTCCATAAGTCTGTGCTGAGGGATGAAACAGTAATAGCTGACTCTTCACTCAATGCCCCCATTGCTGTGTAATGCAAATAGATGCTTACTGTAACAGAAAAACTCAGTATATCTATTCAAGGTTCATTTCATCCAGAAAACACGTAGCCACTTAACACAATTCTATACAATGCAGCAGTATAATAACAATTGATTTAAAACATTCTTGCCTCAAACTTCCTTTTGCCACAGCGTAATTATGGTTGTGGGGAAACAATTGTTTGCAAATATATATCCATTCTGCTCTCGTTCTGTTCTCCATTCTACTATCTTACACAGTTTATGACACAGATACCTGTAATATACTACGTTACACCTATTTACCAGTCTAAGTAGGTTCTCTTCAAAGAGTCTAAATTATACCCTATCAGTTAAAATTTCATACAGGTTTAAAATTGCTAAAGTAATTCTGCTTTGCAATGTCTTCGTATGCTTCCCACCCCTACTGCTTCTTTCAGAAAGAGCAAACTATTGTTCAACAAAGCTTTGTATCTTACAACATTGAAAAGCCTCCTCCAAACCTACCTTTCAGCAAAATATAGATTAGCATTCCAAATGCCATGGCAAGCAGTTGCTTTAACACCTTCTCAACTCTTCTTTCCAGATGGCTGGCTTGCTCTGCTTATCTGTGCTCCCGTGTTTTCTCTTACACTTATATGCCATGAAGCGTCATCTGCTGTTCTCACCAATCAAAAAAAGGTGCATCTGGCAACAACCTCAACCCCCAGGGCAACCACACATTTATTTAGGAAACTGCTATTATCTGGCAATGGGATCAGGTTTTCTTTTGAAACCCTGGTTTCCTATTACCTGTGGGCATAATTGTGCATACAAAGATATAGTTTTAAAGAGAGACCTGGTATCTGCCAGAGCAGATACACGAAATACGGCAAAGCAAAGGTGAGAAAAATGAAAAATGACATATTGTGAAAAACTTGATCTTTCTTTCCCTTAGCAATGTAGGTCTTATGTTACTTCCAGGAGGACTGTTAGGCATTCAGGATGCTACTCTGGAGTTCAGGGTCCAGAGACCAGCCCCTGCTTTGCCCGTGTTCCTTCTTTGGTCCTTCCCTGCCATCCAGAAGAGAAACTGGGAGAACAGTTAGTGCCAAGATTAGGAAGTGATCAGACATAAAGATAATGGATGATGTTCTCCATCAGTGACTGCCAGCAAGAAGCCTTTGATCACAGGCTCTGGTGAGCCGAGGGGCATGCTAATCACTTTATGTTCAGCCTTCCCACGTGCACAACACTGAAGCAAGGCAGGCCACCAGCCCCGCAAAACCCTAAGACTGCTGGCTGGAGCTCTGCATGGTTGTGCAGGGCATAAGTCGAAAGCTGGCAAAGCCCAGGCTCTGAGAAATCACCTAAAGAGCAGGAAAGCTGTTGCCTCCTGTATTAGGTGATCACTTCACTACTACTGCCACTATACTGCCATAAAAGCTCATCTCTACCTTTTCAGGAAAATAGGTATGCATAATGAGAACAATCCTACTTTTTACATAAAGTGTTTGTAGGTCCCCAAGACATACCTGTCATACACACTTCTTAAACTAAACCAGTCTCCAGAGCCCCAGATGCAGTGCAACGTCCTTGGTCACAGGTAGCTTGGAACAAGTAGGACTGGTCTCTGAAGGGTACTTATGTAGCCAAACATACTGGAGCAGATCATCAGAAAGGCCCAGTTCAATAACGTACACACACATCAACAACCCGACTCTCATCAAAGGAGAGTTACACACTTCACCCCAACAACAACTTTTGCTTTCTCAACTGTGACCTCCAAGCAACAAAAACATTTCACAATTTTTACATTTTAAAACCAAAACCCTTATGATAAATGCCCTAATAACTCCAGTCAGCTCCAGTTCTCCCCCTATGCTGCACTCTCCTCAGTGATCGGTAGGATTAAATCTAACCACTTCACATGTAAAGGGAAAAACACAAGCTAGTTATGCACATTTTAATTACGCGTTCTCCTGCTCATGGACTGCATTCCAGGAGGCTTTTCCCTTCCTTCCCTATCCTGAATTGCTGCATGCCTGCACGCTGATCGAGTGCAGCTTGCGCACTCCTCAGATTGACAGGAGTGTTTATGCCTACCTGGATAACCTCTGCAATCAGTCCCGAGCAGGGCTAAGTCTCATGAGCCTTGCTTTCTACACCCATCTACACAATGGGAGCTTAATCCAGCTTGAATCGGAGAGGTGGCTTTGTCATTAGGCAATAGAGCTGGGTGTGGTAGGCCTGTGAGAAGGCTTTGGTGGATAAGGCCGTGCCTCTGTCTGCCACAGGGCATTTGTGCTTGGACCAGACTTGACCAGGTCTGGCACACAAGCATGCTTTCTGGGGTGGTTAATAGGCCCTTCCCTCTGGATGCTCCTTCTGGATGTTCTCCCAGTGGAGAATACTCTCACAGATGTGTCTGGCAGCTCTGAAAATAGTATGCCGTTGCACAAAACCTCGGTCTCACTGGCTTTTGTGTAACACTAACCCATTTACCATAGGAGAAAGAGAAAAAGCTTAAGATGCACAATAAACTGTAGGACATAAGAGGCAGACTCACTCAAGCGACGTAAGCAAAATGCCATAAATTGTTATTCTGCCAAAAAAAAAAAAAAAAAGATATGATTATAGTTAAATCAAAGAAAACAGACAGCAATGTAAGCAGATGAAGAAAATTAATGACTGAACATGCAAAAGTCATCCATTGGCTCCACTCTTGACACACTGATAAAAAACCACAACCACCCCCAAAACTGTATTAACATTTTTTACCAAGACCAACATAACAGCGAACAAGTTTTATTCCATCTTAGTCAATGATGGGTTGATCAGTCTAAGTATTATCTCCATAGGCACCTTGATCCTCCTAACACTTATACTACCACTTAATTTTAAACAGATAATTGTGTCTGCACTATTTGCACTATGTATTTAGTAATGATTCTATCAACTTCTTTTTTGAACACTGCATTAAACAGAACTCTCAGCAAGTCCATCACAAGAACAATCAGCACAGAAATGATGCTCCATCTTGTTTCTTTTATTACAGTAAGCACATTTTTTGTTTAATGGCAGTAGTATTTAGCCACAACTCTTTTTTAAATTCCCCTTTCAAGTTATCTATATTCTAACTGCAAACACCTAAGGCTCTTGATGCAATTAAATCAAAGTTATCCCAACTGAGATAAAAACATGAAGATAAAATTCCCAAGTGGCTCCCACTGACTTCAGTGGAAATTGGGTTAGACTCTTCATCTCAATAGTGCACACAGTTCAGCTGGTATCTCAGCAGCAACTCCACTCCAACTTTTACATTGCATGATACTGTTCTAGATCTATCTTGGAATTAAAATTTTTGGGAATAGAAACACACTGATCTTATTATCCCATATAGTCCTCTCTAAGCAGCAACACACTGTAGCCAAGGATTCACAGGGCTGAGCCTTACATCATGGACTAAAGAAAACCCTTTCATGCAGTTTCAGAAAATTAAAGAGAATAGTTAAATGGCTTAAAATTCCAACAGAAATATTTCATCAGGGATAAACTTTTCCTTTTCTCATCCTCTTCTTCCCTGCCCCCCTTATACATCATGTACATACATAGCAGTTTTAACTACATTCTACCTAATTAAAGTCTGATCCAGCCCAGTCATCCATTCAGGGTTATTTTTTGTGGGATGAGGGCATTGTGCACCAAAACACTTTGTCAAACAAATCCAGACATGGAAAGAAAATAATTCTGGCCTCAATTCTAGCTACTTATTCATGCATACCTCTTGCATATGCTTAAGGTCAGAATTTCACCAGCATTCAAGTTTACTCGATCGTTTTAAAACATGTACTGAACATTTGCATTCATGTCAACATTACTGCCTAGCAGCTGAAAAAAAAATTTCAGTCTTTCACTCCTTTCAGATTCAAGATTTCTGCTGCTATCTCCGAGGGTTTAAGAAAAATTAATTTCAAGACTTCAAACTACACCCAGAGTGCTCCATAACCTTAGAATTCAAACCATATTTTAAAAGAGATATCTAGCATGTTGAAACTTAAGTTTTCATATTGTTTGATCAAAATTACAGGTCCCAAGTGCTTGGAAGATCTTGGTAATTGCACATCATCCCAGATACACAGGTGTATTTGTAATTCATGCTTCATTCTTCATTTTCACACACATAACATTGTTGGTGGTCAATTATCTGCATAGGCTGCATTCTCCAATTCATTTTTGCTCGCAATAAGTCAGTAGGAGGTAACACAAAGTATTTAAACATTCTGTAAACTATTGGGTTCAGTGTATTTTACATGAAAAAATAAATACAATGTAGAAATAAATATCTTTGTAGTAAAAAATAAATGTTTTGAGTATCAATAAATAGAACAACTTGGATTCTTCTTCCAAGGTAGATCACTTGCTCTAGTAAATGAGCTTTTTAGCAACTGTAAGTGTGTTCTTCAGAAGCATTGCAACAGTCATAGGTCCTACCCCTCCCGGCACTGGAGTGATAAAGCCAGCCTTCTTCTTCACTTCTAAGAGACTTTTTTTTTTTTTTTTTTTTTTTCTCTTCAATTGCCCTCATATGCCTAACTGGCAATGAGCATAAAAGGACTGAGACTTGGCAAGTACTGCAGAATATGAGAAAAGTTAAGGCAGAAGTCTTATTACAGCCATAATAGTGACAGAATACAGTCAGGACCAGGGCTGAAAGGTAGTTTTCTTCAGCTGAATTATTACCCAGGGGCTAGCTCTGGGGCATGGTTTCAGAACCTGTTTGAATTGATCCACCTGCAGCAGGCTGTCCTTTCCTCATGAGAGCAACATACATTCTTGCAGCCTGTGATTAGACAGATGGAAAGTTAATCCTGCAAAACTTTTTGGTAAGTGGCAGCTTTTGACTGTTTGACCTGGCTGAGCATCTGGCCCAGGAATGTCTGGGTGACATGAGGGCAGGATGATGCCAAGAGGGCAGCACAGACTTGCATCACCCCCATCTGTCAAGGGTGATACTGCACCTTCAGT